AAGATGAAGATGATGATGATGATGAAGTAAAGTGGTGCTTAAAACATATCCTTATACCCAGGTCTTCGGCCTAATTTCAACAACAACAACAGCAATAATAATAATAGTCTTGCGGACTCACGCCACATCCCCACGCACCCTCCCGGACCCGCACGGCATCTCTCGCACACTGCCACACACCCCTGTGCATCCTCCCCGACCCACACAGTGCCTCTTGCACACCCCCACACACCCTCCCCAACCCACGCCTTTTGTGACCTCCTCACACCCCCTCCCCAACCCGTGCTGTGCCTCTCCCACACCCCCTCGCGCCCTACGCCACCCGGCAGTACCCACTTACCCACCAGCCAGCCTGGCACTTGCAACTGCTGGCTTCCCCACTGACTTTGGTTGTGGGAAGCCAGCCAGAAGTTGCCTCACCTAACGACCGTGGGATTTGGTTAATGACGGCAACCAGGACTGCAGGGAATGCCTTCGCTAAGGGATGCGGGCATGCTTTATGACTGCATTGCTTAGCGACGGAAATTCCAGACCTAATTGCCGTCGTAAGTCGAGGACTACCTCTAGCTCAATCCTTTAACACAGTGTTTCTCAATCTTGGCTACCTGAAGGTGTGTGGATTTCAACTTGTTGGAGTTGAAGTCCACCCATCTTCCAGTGGTCAAGGTTGAGAAACACTGGTTTAGATTGTTTGCATTCTGTTGTAAACCACTTCAAGGTGTTGTGGTTTGCTTGGAGTGGGAAGTGCTAAAGAACTCTTTTAAAGAAGGAAAAAAGGCATTATAGCTTAAAACAGTTTTTAAAATCTGCAAAACCACCCACCTTACCTTTCCTAGGAGTGTCCCAGTCAAAGGCGTACCACGCCAAGTACAGGACTGCTATAAGCCAACAGTCTGTGCAGAGTATATATACAAGGATAATGGTGCAAATAATACCTGGAAGACGAGAGGGAAAGAGAAGAAGAGAGAATTAACCCAAGTTGTGAAGCATTCCGGATTTCAACGATTTCCCACAGGAAAACTGGATTTTCTGACTTCAGGTTTCAGCGGCTGAGAGTTCTCTGCGCAGCTTCTGCCCCCAAACCATCCTCCAAAGCGATCTGCAGCTCCCCAAGCAAATATTTTCCACAAACCCAAAGCTGCTTTTTTTCCCCCTGAAGAAAAAATTGCAGACAACGCCTTTTCCGTAAGCGGAAAAAAGCTTACCAAAAGCTTATCAAGGAAAAGGAGAGAAGACATTCCCAGAGCAAGGAAATGAATTAAGCCTCCTTTGAATGCAGATCAAGTGTTGGTGAACTTCATGGATGCGTATCTTAACAAGGACATGTTCAGTAAGTGGTTTACCATTGCCTTCTGCCGGTCTAGCCTATGACCTGGGATCTCCTGGTGGTCTCCTCTCCAGTACTAAACAGCTCCACCCCTATTTTTTCAGACAGGTTCCAAGCTTCCCGTCCCAGTAAAAACCCAGAAGAACCTGGATGGACTATCCTGCTGTCTAATACCGTTGATTTTGCTCAACCCAGCCTGCATTTTGGCTCCAAGAGAGATAGATCCAAAATGAAATATGAAAAGGAATAAATTCCAAGTTGACGACTCGGTTGAAGTCAGCAGCGCCATTGCAAGATTACTTTCCCGAGCACCACCTACCTGGAAGCCACGTAGTGCAATATAGTGGTTTTAAAGCTGAATCTGGAGAACGGGCACCCGATTCCGTCCCCATCAGCCACAGAGTTCACGCTCAGATCAGCCTACCTTACAGGGTCGCGGGATAAAATGGAGGAAGTCCTCTGTCATAAGGTGCCTGAAGGTCTGAGTGGTAAGGCGGGTCGATTTATTCATGTATTTATTTGACAGACTTCTATTCTGCCTTTCGTACAGGAGCAAAAGACGGTGTACGCCGTGTTCCCTCCTCCCCTTTTTTCCCCTGAACAACGACCCTGTGAGGTAGGTTGGACTGAAAGAGAGGGACTGGCCCAAATCACCCAGGGAGATTCCATGGCTGAAGTTGGACATAAACAGTGTTTCTCAAACTTGGCGAGTTTAAGA